CCCCCCCCCCGAATCCCCTTAGATCCACCCCAGGGTTATGCACTTAGACTCGTTTTAAAACAGAGGTGGAACTAGTACAAGGTAACTCAGAAATGGCCTGTTAATCATCAGTCGGGTGAATCAAAAATGCACCAAAGAAGCTTTTCAAGCTGTCCATATTGTAGCGACTCGTGTACGGAACACGAACAGAGATGGTGTCGTTAACTCGAAGCATAAACACTCCGCCATGATACTTAGTGTTATACTTTTTCGTTTCGCTAATCACGCTTGATAAGCTCTCCATGACCTTTTTGTCGTTGATGTAAGTGTTATGAGCCATCTGATGTGTTTCACCGTCGTAATAATACATTTGGCTGTATATGAAATAATATCCTTGTCTTTTGATTTCCACGGTGCCTGTGGGCTCATGGTACAAGATGCTGCCAACCTTGTGACTCATTTTCCAGTTGGTGATGAGGTGGTGATCTGAAAGACAACCAGACATGAATCGATTTTAACTGACACAAAGAAAGTTTAACATCTAGGTAAATTAAACTCTTGTTCGTTCCTTGATTGAAAATAAAACACAAACAGCCGTGATAAACATTGTACACCAACGCAGTTTTATACTAAACTTGACATTTCGTATGCTGAGCAACGTAAGCGTTGCAATTTTTGAACAACTATTCATATCGTTCTTATTGGTGGTCTGGAACCTAGACTGAGAAAAATGATAGATAAATTAAAATAGAAACCATGGCTATGGAAAAACTATGGGATACGCTAAAAGTGTTCTCTCTCGGTCGACGTCCATAGTTAGTTTCAAAAAACTGGTGGCATTGATGTCAAGACCATATCCTCCAGTTGATGATTTTGTCTCTTCTCGTCACCTGTCTGTCTGGCAAAGTATAATATTGCAAGGAGAAAGTAGGTGCTAATCACTCTTGGTTCTAGGTAAGTGAATCATGCTTTCTCAGGACTTACGAGCTTGTTCTATTTCATGGCCTTTTCCCACCAAGTGGATGCTCTCGCTTATCTAAAATGCAAAACAAGGCAGAAACAAATAAAATTAGCTTCTTCACTAGCAACGGCACAGGTTAGAAGCAGCAGCAAAGGAACCTAATGGGTCGACCCATTAAACTATGTTTAAAGTTAGAAGTGTTTGTCGTTGCTACTGGGTAAAACTAAATTCAGTTTATTCCATCCAAAGTGGTTTGCCGCACTTCAAGTAAACCAAACCGACGTAGAAGGTGGAGGCTAGTCATCCGAGTCTAAACATAACTGACGCTGAAACTTCTGTTGCTAAAAATTAACAGTCGCCTTTTTGAGAGCCCCCTACACCAGGACGATCACACTTTCCTAACTATTTAAACTCTATTGATTAAGCAATAAAACATTACGCGATATACTCCTAATTAACCGCAGGTCCACATCAGCTTATGCTGCCTATATACCGACCTGCGTAAACAAATAAATGATGTATGTATGTATGTGTGTGTGTGTGTGTCTGTCTGTATGTATGTATGTATGTATGTATGTATGTGTGTGTGTGTGTGTATGTGTGTGTGTGTGTATGTATGTATGTAGGTATACTTACGAGTGCACCAGCTGGGCCAGGCGGTCCTGTAGAAAAGTGTGTAAAAATATTTCAGTAAAATGTTGATATCAGGCTCGTAAATAGAGTAATACTGAAAGAAAACCGTGGATAGAGTATGGATTGTGGTAGAAATAATAGCTGTAGTAAATTAGACGTACTGAGAAATTAGAAATTAAGGGAGTGATTAAGTGTTGATGGGTTGGAGTTGAGATGGAAAAATTCCTTCATTTTGTTTATTACATTATTTTTCGATTTCATTCACTAAATTTTGCAGGAACAGGTTATTTACTGGACTTACTTTGACGTGGCATCTTACTACCATGTGAATGTGACAGGCTAGAAAACACTAAAACACAAATCAAACCTGGCAAACCTTGCGGCCCTGGAAGTCCCATAGTTCCTTTCGGTCCCATTTCGCCTTCGTCTCCCTTAACCCCCTGAGGACCCTGGGGACCAACAGGGCCTTGTTTACCTAAAAAAAGAAGAAAAACACTTTGTTCCAAATTTCTTTCACGTAGCTTTAAGAAGTACACTGTACTACGTCGGAGATGAGATACACCACCAAAAAATTTATGTCCTCCAAAATGCGTAAGAAAATCTGCCTAATGAAAGTTTCTTGTCTAAAAACCGTTGCGTTCGGAGGAAAAAATGAATATGAGGTTAACCTGGTGGAAAAGTAGCTTCACAGTGTTAAATTCATTTCAAATCGGAATTAGATCCTTTATAAAGTAAGGTTAATCCTTTCGTTCAATCTTGTTCAGTTACCTCTTAAAACTGATAATCCTCGCCTCTAAAATGATCGATGGGAACTTGACAGCGGTCGAACGACAGAAATTTGCCGAAAACAAGAAAATGGCTTCAAAGACAAGGGTTATTCTTTTTCGCGATAATTTGAAAACGGGGCAATGGAGCCTTAACGGCGCCTTTTGTGTTTTAAGCCTATTATGTTCAGTTGCGTTGATATATGATTTTTCTTTCGGTGTAGCTAAGCGCATTGACCACTTTAAACAACAACTTTTGAACATTTTTTTGAGCAATTTTGTTCCACTGCGAACGTACAGAGCATCCAAAAAGCAAAAAAACTCGTTTGTTTGAGATGAATGAGAATATACTCACATTAATGAACTATTTTATACTGATATCCTTGCTCATGATTCTACTTCATCACGAATATCGTGAACGAAATCCTCTGAAATAAAAAAATAACAGCCTGAGAAATATAACAACTGACCTTCTTTTCCTTCGGCGCCACTCGGCCCAGTTTCACCGCGAAGTCCTGGCGGTCCAATTGGGCCGGGAGGTCCTGGATTACCAGTAGTGCCCTGGTCGCCCTTTTCCCCTATGAGAGCGAATAACATGAAAAATTTAATAAGTCGTTTGTGTGAATAGCTCGAAATTTCTCGACTTTTAAGCCTACAATCAGTAGCTTACAACCAATGGACGCCTTCTTTTCGTTTTGTTACGATCTATCGTAGTCTCCTGTGACTGCCCTAAGTACCCAGGTTACCGTCGCTCAGTCAGCCCAAGTTTTTTGGAGCCTAGGGAGACTGGTACGGAGATGGTGTTTGACCCTGACTGAAATTCTGGGTAGGGTGTTTGTAACAAACAGAGTGTGTTTAAAATTCTCTTAATTTACCTTTTTTACCTTTGCAACCTACAAAGAAAATGAGAAAACATGTTTTAGGATATAAATTGGGTCAAATCGCCAATCGTTGAAGAAGCTGTTGCTACTTTGTAGATGTTAAAACATACCTCTGTACAACTACGTTGGAAGCAGTTTACAAATTTAAATAACAACAAAAAGAGACATAGCCCATTGCAAAAACGTGAGAGGACTGGGACGAGTTTCTTATATTGATTAGATTGAAAATCCAAACATTTCAACTAAAATGTTACTGAATGAAAAGCTACCCAGTCAACTTTGAGAGTTTTCAGCGGAAAATTTTCCAAATGGGAGCCTTGCAAAAGTTGCAAAATTCCATACAAACCCTTAAAAATTTTGCGGCCTGTCTACCCAGTCCATACAAACTCTCTATTTTAGGTGATATTTGAAGAGCTATCATTTTGCCATTTTCCTCCTCTTAATACTTCTATTCTTGCTTAAGACTCTCAAATTTAGTTGATGTTTCATTTGAATATCTTAGTTTTTCAAACAAACGGAAAACAACCACACTCTTTCCCAGTCCTCTCATGTTTTGGCAATAGGCTATAACATAAACACAACATTAAGAACACACAACAACTTTCATCTACAACCGCAGTTCATATATGAATTATTTCATATAAACTTCACATCATAAACACAACATCATGCACCACTCAATGCCTTTTCTTTTCTCACCTCTTTTGCATCGGATATCTGCAAAGAAATAAGGCATGTCTTTTAGTATGATTTATAATGCTTGATTCCGGGCGGCCGTAACTACAATGAATTACACCCGTCGGGTGGAGGCTGTGTATCATTGACGAGCGAAGTCGTTATTATCTTCACGCTTGGGTGTTTTGCCTGCAGGAACGTCAGTCTTTTGTCATGCAAAGTAATTGAAAAGCAACCTGTTTTCTCGGTTTATAACTCATGGAGGGCTACTCATATAGTCGCCCTGCAGTTTGCTTGCGATTAGCATTTATGGGGCGACGGGTAAGGCGACTGTATGTGTCCTACCATGAAGTTCTTGCCGTGTTTTTTTGAAGCCCTTATGATAATATAGCAACAAAATCAGTAAGGGTCGACAAACGATAGGCCAGTCTCCATTGTTGCTGCAAAATCGCTTATCGTGTACCCAATCATAGATAATCTATAGTAAATTGTACGAGTTATTGCTCGGAATGAAAATGAACTGCGTTATATTGAAACGCGTCTTTCATGATACTCTTGATTAAGTCTTTGATTGACTTTTGACATCTTCATGTCAAAAACGTCTCTATATTGGATTTCGTATATTGCTCAGCCAATAGCAATGGCTTCCCCCCTGCGGAAGGAGAAACTGACTAAACACACGTGGATTGTGGAAAGGCTTTGAAGTGAGCACAAAGAAAGTCGAAAAATCAACAGGAAGAAGTTAGCAATCACAAAGGCTACTGAAATTTCCAAGAAATACATTAATACTGAAATGAAGTTACAATTCAATTCACTAACCGAAAAATATGCGGAAGTAAGATAGAAAAATTTCAGTATACTCATTTCAGCCGACATCCTGATTAAAATGAACAATATTGTAAGCAATGAATTCCCTTGTTCTTTTTGTTCGTTGTAATTTTAAAAAGCTGAAAAGACTGTGTAAGCTAGCAAACGTGTTTTATTTTATGATTATCAGTTCCTCTATGCTCCCAACTGTGTCCATTAATATTGAATTACAATGAGAGTAATTATAAGAGGTGAGATTATGTCTCCTGAACGCCCAATTCTGAAATTAATGGTAGCTTTGCTTATTAAAGAACTCTGAGAAAATTTTCTGCTAAAATGTTTGAGTAGTTTTAATTACTTTAAAAAGTAATCATTCAGCGCTCTCTGTTTGTTCGGTTCATTATCAATTCCACAAGCTGCTGCCAATTCCCATAACGTGGATGTTTTGAAACCAGACACAATAACAATGAAGTGTGTTTGCTGACGGAAAACGACGTGCAGCTTAACAATAATCACAACCCACCTTCAGTTTGCAGCTTGAAACCTTGGAACTGCCGCTTATTTCGTGTTTGGGGCGGATACGGGTGCATCTGCTGCAAAAACCAACAACTACGCATGTAATAACAGTTAATCGACGTTGCACTCAGCTACATTATGCAAAATTTTGACAACACACGCCACTTATTACATTGCAGGCATTAGTTACCTTGTTTTTTAGACGTTTTTCTGTCCTTTCCTGTCGTTCTTGATTAGTCCCACCCTCTTCACTCTCTTGCGTCCCCTGAGCTGTGAACCTGGTCTCCAGCTTGTAAACACGCGCTGCAAGATCGTCTGCGATCGTTTCCAGAGTTTGAATTCTAGCCGACTGCTTCACCGTGAAACGATACAGAGTCGCTATAAAAACTGTGACGAGTATGACGTAAATTGCGGCCACGAGAACCACAAACGAGATCAAGTTGCTGCGAGCACGCGAGTGATCGCGTTTCTCCATGTCTGCCGGATGTGTTTGACGCGAAGTCGCGAAGTGCAGAAGTTGTTTTGATCCTAGCGCGCCAATTCTTAGAACTGTTTGATTTATTATTGTCTCACGCTTCAGTAAACATGTATATTTTGTGAGTTTCTCGGAAAAAACGGTCACACCAGCCGAGGGCTTTCACGTGTTGGAGTTGTGACCTGCACGGGAGCCGATGGACTACCGCCTAAACAATGTCTGCAACAAGAGCAATCTGTAAATTTGTCTTCGCATGCTTGGTGATTTTTGCAGAGGCAGAGACGAACCGTATAGTTCTAACGTCTTCATGCCTTTTTTTGCTTTTGTTTTATTATGAAGGTCTGCCTTGATGTGAATATGTTGTAGTGTGGGTCTCGTTACTTCCTCGTTCCCTCCTGGATGACTTTTGCTTTTTGAATACCGTACATGCTCAGAAGTGCAGAAGAACCTCTTGATTTGGTTCAAGATGAAATGGAGGTCAATAAAACAAATTGCAATCTATTTCTCAATTGAAACTCTCCTTTTCTTTCCACTCAGAGCGCTTTTTAATTTCTCCTTATACCCTCGACAAAGAAAAACGGGGGGCAGAATTTCCTCGTTGCATCCATTCAAGTTAAAATACGAATGCAGAGAACAATGCAAATGGAAATTAAAGTTTTCTAACGTTCTCATTGATTGCAGGAAACTGAAAAGAGAAGAACAAGTTTCAAGAACAAGGGCTTAAAAAGTCAAGGAAAAGGCACACGTGCCTCAAACAGGTTCTAACTGAGGATGAAGTGTAAAAACTAGAATGAAAGAGAAGAGTATGAAAGTCAAGGTGCCCAAAATAACGACTGGCAGTGAGAGGTAAAGGTATATCTTTTATTGAAATAGTCCTTTTTCAACAATTCCGTATACAATGTTGAGGCTACGTGTATGACTCGTTTTAGGATCCGCAGACCTGTATAACTACATACTACGTAGACTAGCACTGTAATTTTTCTTGCGGTACAACATGCCACGTAAAGGCGAGTGATATACGTAGGGTACTGCACATGAGCACATTACAAACTAGTTTTCTCCATCACTGACCCAGAAGCATCGCGATACGCAACACGCGAGATACGATTAAACTGGTATGCATGCAACGGCTTTCCAGCTTTTGATTGGCTGTTCAACATGGGATAAATCACAATATACAAAGCTATCGTTAAATTCTGTAATTATTTGATTACATTATTTTACTTGGATTCTACCTATTGGCGACAATTAGTTTTTGACTTAAGCACTGGTTTAAATGCATCATTTATTTGACTTTTCGGATACCGAAAATAAACTTAGAGGAAACTTCTATACGGTCAATCGAGGCCTCTTTTGGTTAAATTACAAGCTGGAAAGTGGTCAACACGTAAGCTTGCGTTACCTTGACTTCTACCCATGAAATGTCTTAAAAAATGTTCACTGTCACACGTTTTAAAAATATCATATAATGAAATCCAACAATTGTTAAGTAAAAGCGCGAACTAATCTCTCGTCACGTGTTCTCCTCGTTGCGTGACGATTCCAATGATGTACGACTACGGAGAGTCTACGGAGAGTATTAACGCGTTGAAACGTACAAATGATTTAATATCCGTGTTTAACACTTCTAAAAGTGCTTATGAATACCCACTAATTTTAAAACTGGCTTAATGAACTTCTTACATTCCCATAAGGTCAAGCAACTATTTTAAATTACTAGCCTATGTAGCAGTTATTTTCTCCCCAATTGCGCGACTCGAGCGAAAAGTTTGAGAGGCACGTAAAGGCTAAGGGCGCGAAAGTTACTTTCGAGCTCTAAGCCGTTGCGTGCCCACCAAGATTTCCGCACGCGCCCCGCGCGCCTGGGAAGGAAACGACTGCTACGCATGCGCAGGCTAAATCACCAGTTAAATTATCAAGAACAAAATTAGTCAACTTGAGTTGACGAGAACCAACAGTGATCAAACGCTTTTGCCATTTAAAGTTGTATCTTTTAGAAGTCAAATAAAGCTTGAACCACGTCCAGATTGGTTTCCTTTGGGGGTTTAATTTTCAGACGATCATCCCCGACGTTTTCATATGGGAATCCCTCCGGGATCTCCTTCGCTGGCGATATTTCATTTGGGGTAAATGTTTCACGATTCAAGTCACGCAACGAAGAAATCTTCCAATCAAGGAAACGGCGAAACTAACTGTCTGCTGTTACCGTAGAAAATCACCATAGAGGTAACGATAAAACAAAAAGAAAATAGGATGGTTAACATTAACAAAGATCTAGATGGATTACAAAAGACGAGTTTGAAGAATTCAGGCTGTGTTTGAAGCTAAAAAGGCACATAAAAAAACAACAACAAAACGAAACAAAACAAAACTTTATCAGTTAACAGTTTGTCGAGGTTTGGTTACCTTTGTTAGCCTGCCTGCAGACAACTAAACTCACATGTGCACGCAGGCTAAACTGCGAAGGAAGAAGTTTTAATTCCCTTTAATTAAGGTAGCGGTACACCAACCGGAAGTTGGTCAGGATACAACATAAATACTCCAAAATAGCTGTAAGGAGCTTCCATGTAGTATACCTTGCTCCGGTAAACTTCAACCTTGAGAATGTCGCCTCGATTCAGATGAAACAGGCCTCCCTGGTAATTCGTGTAGTAGTGTTTATTACATCCCGCCACGCTGGAGATGCTGCCAAGAATCTTGTTACCGTTTAGCAAAGTGTAGTGGTTCATGGAATAGCTACTGCAGTCGTGATAATACATCTGGCTGTAAACATAGTACATTCCAGAACGACCGATCACAAGTTCACCCACGTGCCTTCTGAAAAGGATGCTTCCATTAACATGGCTTTCGCTCCATCGATGTACAGTGCCTGCGAAAGAAGCTTGAGAAGTGAGTACTAGCTTACTTTGGACCTTACCTCCATGAACAAGGAAACGAGGGTGATTTCAGCGTTTCGTCCATGACTTACAAACACAGAAGACTTTGCTTCCATGTTTCTGCTTTCTGTGTTTCATAAATGGTCAAATTTTCAGTCAAATATTCGACGATAGTTTCTAGAAGAGCATTACAGTACAGAGTCGAGTAACTTGTGATTACCGGAAAAGCGCTCGTAAATTATAAGTGGACTTTCGGACGGATGTTGATGATTTGTTGTACAACACTACAAATTACAACTTAAAAAAATATTGGTAAATGAATGAACGAATAGACAAAGGAATACCTTACCAGCATGAACCACTCTTTTCCCGTTGCCCACCAAATGAGCGCTTTCTCTTGCCTAAGAAAAAGAATTGCTGAACATTAAGTATAAAAAAAAACAATTTAAGTGATATTAGAGAGAAAAGCAAGAGAAAAGATAGAGTGAGACAAAGCCGAAGAGAGAGAGAGTAACGCAAGAAAGGAAGAGAAAGAAGTTCAACCCGAGAAGTTCAGAGAACACGATCCGACAAAAAATTCGTGAATTTCGTAAAACTGAGCTTTTTATTGATTTTTGCTTCGATACATTAACGTTAAGGCAGGTGACAAGCTATGAAATGTTTACTTGTGTTAACTTTCGTAAGGACTCGTTCTCTGTCTACCACAGTTTTTTCGTTTCCTTCGCGAGAAGCTGAAAAGCAAGGGTGCCACAGAGAATAGACGGTCTTTGAACAGACTAAGGGATTCGTGTTAGTGGGTGATATAACTTGATCGCTTAGTCATCGATACAATAACAAGATAAATAAATAAATAGACTAACCATCGGGCCTGGCGGTCCGCGTTCTCCTAAACACAACCAGAAAACGAACGTTAGTAAACCTTTATGATATCTTCTTTTAGTAGACATGGATAGCAATCTTTTGGAAATACGCGAATTTCATTAGTTCCCATTCTAACTATTCACAGATAGCATGATCAGGATTGCACGAGAGTATTATATTTGTTTTTTGGTCTCTGGTCCCTTTATCTTGATCATTTTCTAGTCCAGACTCTTTACTGGGTCTTTACTGTTTCCATAACAAACCATGCAGCTGGTCTTACCTTTTAATCCGGGTTCTCCCATTAAGCCAGGTGCACCCGGAGTTCCCGCGGGACCATCTGGCCCGGGAGGCCCCGCGGTACCCGGCGGACCCGCGTCCCCTTTTTGACCAGTGGTACCTTGAATTAAAACATGGCGATACGTTACACTACAAGCTGCTACAATATCGAACTGATTTTACTATGCAAACAGAAAAACTCAGGGATCTCAGCAAACAAGTCGACGTAAAAAGAGCGCTCTTTGCTACCGTCACGCAACATTCTTATCTAATTGGGTAGACACGTTGCGTGACGATCGAAGTAACGGCTATGAAAAGGACCGGGTTCTTTACGTTCATTACTGTCTTATGAACTTTAATGGACGACAATGTTAGCAACTTTTATCTGATCAGTAACTCCATTGGTTCTTGTGAGAAAGGCCTGTGAGAAAGGACATTGCTTTTTTTTTAAAGGTGGAGTATGTATGCTATGAAGCCACCTTAATTCGCTAAGTAACGGACATCTTTACGCAATTTTTCCTCCTCGTGCTGGGAAAGATTTCCTGACGAGCTTCTCCATAGAAAGGTACTAGTGGTAATGAAGTCTAGAACTATAATAATAACCTGGATTTCCTTTTCGACCTCTTCTTCCCTTTGGACCTAAAAAAAGTAAAACACAAGGACAAAAGTGACGAGAGAAATCTATACCATATTAATTCCGTCTAGGATCAAACAACTGGCCAATTTCACCCTTACCTTCAGGCCCCGGCGGTCCCCGCGGCCCGGGAGATCCGGTCCGTCCCCTTGGACACACTGTGGTACAGGCGCTACCAGACTGAGAATTTCGTCTGATTCTTCCAGAGAATATGTTCTTGACATCATCAATCTTTATCTGCTGAGAAAGAAAAAAAGAGGAGACTGTTCATTGGCAAGGCATTGGGTAGACGTTTTCAAAATAGCCTTGTGTCTTGGAAAAAGCATCAAAATTTAGTTACAGCAATATTTTTATTTATTTTTCGTGAATGTCTTGTTTGTCTATATGAAAATTTGAAATTTTTATCGGGAGTTTGTAAAGCTGAGCTGCGTTAAATCCTCTTGTCTTGTCTCACTGGCTTGAGCATAATGCAGCAAAAAGCCATGAAAGTATTGTCTCCCCCTCTCTCTCCCTCACCCCATTCTGCCGGATAACATTTCTAGTTTTTCCTCATTTTAATTTTCCAGGGAATCGTATCCTTTGCGAAGAAAAATTTCAAGGATCACTTTATAGGTTGCGGGATGCAAGTAACCTGGAAAATTGACAGGATGAAACACTCGGTTGGTTGTCGGAACGATCACCATGGCTACAATCGCTACAATAAATCTGGTTGAAAGGTCAAAGTTTTGATGTGGATTTACGGACAAGATGATCAGAGAACTATCGGGTGATCTTTGGGTTGATTTAGCGGTCAGATATTTGGGAATTATAAAATTACCCCGTTGGAAGAAAAGCGTCATTAATTGTTAGAGGTGGTAACAAAGAAGAGGAGCAAATTCTTGAATGCAGGGTGGGGTGGGGTGTGTGTTGTCGGTGACCTTGGGGTACACGATCAATACTAATTATGCAAATCGACACGACAAGGAAGCGGACGGAATAAAGAACGTGCATCAAGACATAGTCTGTTTACAACATTATCATGGATCAGACACTTCATTTACAGGAATAAACCAGGACTGTTAGTGAAGAGTATTCTGCCGTTTGTGTAACAGATCTTAAAGGACCTTGGTAAAAGTTCTATTTGGAGAAGACAACAAGTACAAAGATCAACAATGGAAACAATAGCTGTATGCAGATTTATCAACACGCAGTGAAGTATAACATTTCTGTGGTATGAAATTTGCATCAGTCATCAAACACGCTATCGTTAAAACAAAACATGTGATCGCGTATGAAGTATTCTCTAAGTGCTCATATGTTTACTGCATTACCTGATGGTTTGATTCTTTGTTTTCACGTCGTTTCCTTTCACCCGAGGGCGATACTGTCGGTGTCGCCCCAGCTGCAACTCTATCTGCCTCCAACGAAACAATTCGTCCGCGTAAATCTTTGACGTCCTCTTTCAACAGACTGTAATCTCGCATCAAATAAACCAAGAATACGCTTAATGATACGCAATACACGACCAAGAGCACGATAGCAAGCGCTACAAGGAGCCGCAGTGGACTCGATTTCTCGTTGTCGGCCATTGCTAGTGATGTCCTTGTTGGTTTACGGTGGAGTAGACATGAACTCGCATAGCGTTACATGTAAATATGTCCCTCGCGCGCGAGGAGTTCAGCAGACGACTTCCTGTATTATGTTGGGTGCTAAGAATTCATGCTTCAGTGATCAATTACGACACGTGATCCGCGCGCCTCATTTTGGCGGGAAAGGCACCAGTTGATAGATCTCAAGAATGTTTTGGGAAGAGGTACCGGCCTGGAGAAAATGGCCTATTGCGAATGTTTGGTCTTTATTTAGAAGGTGGGGAGGAAAAAAAATTGACTGTGAATTGAACATTAGCGGCCTTTAGCTAGCTATCATCGCATGATGGTAGGCGAGTTATAAATGGTCACCATAGTCATACCTGACTATAGTTATATTTCAACGGTATAAGCCGTTATTAGAGAAAGGGTAAAATATAGGGGGGGGGGGGGGGGGATGAGATAAAGGGTAAAATATGGGAAGTAATTCCCTGCAGAACAACTAGTGTAGCATAGTTAAGAAGCAGAAAGATAACGATAGAGTTGACGCCATCACGATATCTTTTATCTTGACCTAGAGTGACGTAGTAGTGGCGTAGTTGAAACTGAAAGTTTCATAGCTAGATACACGACAGCTGAAGAAGCCGTGATAGCGTCTTTTGTTTTGTTACAACCCAGAATAAATAGAACATTTAATGACACTATGTGTTGTTTTACTCAGTAATACCAACAAGTCCTATACCGACGTTTGTTGGATTGTATTTGTAGTGCAACTAGAGTTAGTTACCTGACAAAGCCAAAACTGCTATACAGTGAAAACTGTATTAAGCGGACACCCTTTAGACCCTCATTAGTGTCTGCCCGCTCAAAACAGGTTCTAACATGTTGTGCAACAACAGTTAATTATTAAACCTTTTGTAACATAGTGTGAGATCAGAGGTGAGATCAAAGACATGCTCATAGCACAATTTCCAGTCAGTCAATGCATCAATCTGGAATAATTACTTAGCTTTAAAACGACATCGCTGAACAATGTTAAAGGAGTCTCAGGTGAACTTTTAGAGGTAAAACTGATGCCTTTGAAGTGTCCGCTCATTGTAGGTTTTGTGCACCAAAATGGCTTAATATCGGTGTCCGCGTCCGCTAAACAGAGGTGACCGCTGAATGCAGGTTTATTTTACAGTAAATGTGGGAAGAAAATTTAGGGACTCAAGCTGATGTCCGCTTGTAATAGAGGGTGTCCACTGAATATGGGGTCCGCTTAATACAGGTTTCACTGTATTGTATTTCGTTTTAAAATACCAGGCGAACGTTATGACATAATCATGAAAAGGAAACACATACAACCGACGTCAATTTGCGTTAAAAACATTATACAGTTCAACCCCGATTAAACGGCAACCCTCGGGGAAATGGATAGTAGCCTCAAGGTTAGGGTTACGGTTAAAGGGGGCTGGCGGCCACTTAATAGAGGTAAAAACAATAGAAAAGGCCTTATCGGGACTTTGATTACTGGCCGCCTATAGGGGGGGGGAGGGTGGCCGCTTGGGGGTCGACTGTACAGTGGATTCTCTATTAGGCGGCCACCTCAGCCCGATTAAGGGGCCACCCGTTATTAAGCGGCCAGATATCAAAGTCCCGAAATTATTAAAAGTAAAATGCTGCAAATAAGACACCCTATTAACCGGCCACCTCTCTTAAGCGGCCGGCTTTGTTTTGGGCTTTAACAAAAGACGATGAAAAATGTGAGTCCCAAATAGAATTTGACGACTAATAAAAACATTTAAACACACCTTTGTTGTGATTGTCTTGATGTCATTACATATTAACCCGATGGTGAAAAATATTCAAAGCACACGAACCCCTACTAAGCGGCCAACCACTATTAAGTAATCAAGAAATTTGGAGATATTATGAATACATTTTGCTCGTTTTTAGTTTTATATACCAGTGGTGGATCTAGGGGAGAGGCCCTGGGGGGCCCGCGTCCCTTATTTTGGGTATAAAAAAATCGCAGAAGGAAGAAAAGCCGGCAGGGCAAGCAAAAAACCACACACCACCCCCCCCC